GCCTTTATCGCCCCCTCATTTTAGGTAGCTAATGTCTAAGTTGTCCATCCCTATCTACGCTGTGTACAGAGGGGATAGCATTGATACTAGATGTGAAAACCCGTCTTCTCTCTGTTGGTATTTAAAATAGAGGTCCATCTCTTGTTTTGGGTTTTTCTTCTTTGCTTTTTCCCCACCGCAATAAACAACTAAATTCATATACAATATAATTCATCCAAAGGAAGGGAAAGAAAAGATTAGAGAACCAAACATACATTTTTCACAGTAGGAAGTCACTATATAATACATTTATACATCAGCAACACTGCAAACCTAACTTTATAAGTACTCTACTAACACTTTTTTCTAAAGCAGTTTTCTAACCATTTTCCTTGAGGCTTCTAGCAACTGTTTTTCAAATTTAAAGTACAGAAAAATCACTTTGGGGTAAGACTGCTTTCACCCTTAGGAGTAGGACATGGGAAACACCTCCATTTTTAACATGCACCCCACAAGTGCTTCTGATACACATGAATCATAGACGCACTCTAGAAAACAATTTTTTGGTGCTCACAGGGAATGTTCTCTCTAATTTGAAATTTCATACAACCATGAAAACTGAGTCTGTAAAAGTAATTTGTTATATTTACTAAAACTAGACACAAAGCTTATATGACACACAATTGTTAGGTACTGTTCTAAGGATTTTTTCAATTTTCTCTCATTCTTTAATCATTACCATAATATGAAATAAGACATTATCATCATCTACTTTACAGCATGAGGTTTACAAAATTACAAGGAGTAGACTCTTCTCTTCTACAATAAGGATTACATTATTTTATTAAAGCTGAGAACTAGTGATGTTGTCAGCTGTGAGTCTACCCTAACTCATGGCACCCCATGAACAATGGGCTCAAACTGTGATACACAGGGTTTTTACTGACTGATTTTTCAGAAAATCTACAAGCCTTCCTTCCGAATCCATCATAGTCTACAAGTCTGCTGAAACCTGTTTAGTATCACAGCAACTCACAGATGAATGGTGGCTGCACTTGAAGGGTATCGGCTGGGAATCTAGTACAAGTCTCTACAAGGAAGGCAGGAGTCTACCAGCGAACAGCACTGCCCCCTGAAACCTGTGATTATATTGCTGTTGTTAGGTGGCATCAAGTTGGCTCCAACTCATAATGACCCTATGGACAACAACGAAACAATGCCTAGTCCCGTGCCATCCTCATCACTGCTGTTATGTTTGAGCCCAGGGCTGCTGCCACTGTGTCAATCCACCTTTTTCACTGACCCTCTACTTTACCAAGCATGATGTCCTTTTCCAGGAACTGGTCTCTCCTGACATGTCCAAAGTACATGAGATACATATGAGTACATATGATAATTTCCCTTTAATCAAAAAAGAAGTCTAATGATAACAAAGCTTCTCCTCCCCCCCCCGCCCCTTTCTGATTTAGTATTACAAAAACAGCAAATGGTCTCAATGATATTATGAAAATATAGAATATAAAAACACCTCACCCCACACAATGCCTAGAACTTCACTAGGATGAAAACAAGAAAATATTCCTGGGTGGGAAGCTATCAGACATTTACACCTCAGTATGACTGGTACTTAACAACAACATGACTTCGTAAGGAGTCCTGACTTGGTTGTAGGATAAACACTGGACTGCTAACTATAAGGTTGGTGGTTTAAACCCACTAGTTGCTCCTTGAAAACCCTATACAGCACGGATATGCAATCTTATTTCTGCCACAATTTATAACATCATTTGCAAACCACACAAAATTCTCAACTTAAAAATTGGCATGCTACATTTGGTCAAAACATTTAATTAACTCACTCCTAATGCAAGACGTTCTGGTAGTGTAGTTGTTACGAACTGAGCTGCTAATCTCATGGTCAGCAGTTCGAAACTACCAGCTGTTCTGCAGGAGAAAGACGAGGCTTTCTGCTTGCGCAAAGATTTACAGCCTAAGAAACCCTATGCAGGGTCGCTATGAGTCGGAAGCGACTCCACAGCACATAAAATAACAATAATGTGAAGGCTAGTGTCCTGGTGTGGCGCTGTGGATTATGCGCCAGACTGCACAGCCGTCTGAACTTGTGAGGTTGGTAGTTCAAGCTCACCAGTCGCTCCTAGGCAACCCTATACAGGGTCGCTATGGGTCGGAACTGACTTGATGGGACTTAACAACAACAATGTGAGGGTTGGACTCCTGGTATGGTGTTGTAGATCAGCACTGGACTGGGAACCACAAGGTCAGCAGTTCAAACTCACCAGCTGTTCCTCGGAAACCCTGTACAGGGTCGCTATGAGTTAGAACCGACTCAATGGCACTTAACAACCACAACATGATGGCTGGAACTGCAGTTGCCTTGGCAGGGCCAAACCAAATGATTCTGTACACTTTACTACAGTAACACTCTATGAAATGACTGATCTAGGAGACGGGAGCTTTGAGAAAGAAACATGAAGAGGTAACAAGAGAAGTCTGAGATCCCAGGAAATACTAGAACTCCTGGAGAGTAGAAGGAAAGCATGCCATCCTCCACACCTTCCCGAAACCTACTACTGTGGGATAGATGGTGACTGACAGTGGCCCTATATACACTGCCAATACTCCATGCAACCTGGCTCTTCTCAAGCTGCTGTGCTTTTAATGCCAAATAGTAGAGACAGAGCGAGATTCCATTATCACACTAAGGTCTTCAACTCCTTCCTCTACTGCCCACTTAAGTTCTTTACCTCCACCTGCCAGTCCCTCCACCTGACTACAGAAGGTCGAAGGCAAACTGAAGCAATAATGTTCAACAGACATCTCAGAAGAGTTGCTTCCAAAACTAAACACATGTAATCTTGGTGTGTTATATATTTCTCAAGTTTTTTCTCAGACATCATGAAGCTACCTCCTTGATGCTGTTAGTATAAAATATATAATCTTTGAAGTTTCAACAGGTGGTGGTGGTGTACCGTCAAGTCAGTTCCGAATCATAGTGACCGTCTATAGTGTTTCTGAAGCTGTAAATATTAATGGAAGCCAAAAGCTACATCTTTCTCCTGTGGAGGAACTGATAGATTCGAATTGCTGACCTTATGGTTAACATCTCAACAAGCAACCCACTAGGCTCCCAGGGCTCCTTTATCATGTTAAAGTGCTGTGGAGTCCATTATGATTCATAAAGCTTCTGAGGAGTGGCTGGTGGGTCTGAACTGCCAATCTTGTGGTTCAAACCGACCTTGCTGGTTTATCCTCCATCACAATATAGTAGGAGATCAGCAAAAGCAATAGCTATCAGTAGGGATGTGTGTGTAGAGGAGAGTGGGTGTTCTGGTACTTTTAACAATCAAAGAGAGAAAAAACAAAGGGCATCCTCAAAAGACTTAAAACAATACTCTTGTTCTCATAGAAAACACACACACACAAAAAAAACTATTGATCATTATCCAGAACAAATTCTCTCCAAAAAAGTATTTATTATCTGCAATCTTCCATAAAATGTAGTTGTCAAGTGCTGTTGAGTCGTTTCCGACCCACAGCGACCCTATGTAGGGTTTCCAAGGAGTGACTGGTAAGCTTGAACCGTCACCTTTGCAGTTCAAATTGACTTTGCAGTCCAGAGCATTAACCCACAGCACCACATCAGGGCTTCTTTCCATAAAATAAGTATAAGAAAGACATACTACTCCCTCCAGTTCTGAAACCCCTGCAACTACTTTGTCTGACTTAATTAATTGGTTAGAAACTACTGTACTGAGTTTCTGAAATTCCAGCCATTCTGCCTGGAAGAGTCTAACAGGAATTCTCCAGACAGAAAAACAAATGTATACCTTAGAAGTATTAATACGATTACATTATCTAAAAACCACCTATTTCTTTCTTCACTAGATAGTAAGGCAATCAGATAATATATTTTATGCCCTTCCACAGCTCACACTCTGGGTTTCTCCTGAGTTACTCTTCTTTATGAATGACACCTTCAGATCTGATATTTCTATTCTGGACCTTTCCCAACAGAGCTCCCAACAGAGCAAAACAGTTTTCAGGTTTGGTGCTGTGTGCTAAAGTACTGGACCACAAGGTGGATTTGAACCACAAGGTTAGTGGTTCAAACTCACCAGTCGCCACTTGGAAACCCTATACAGGATTGCTATGAGTCGGAATCGACTCCAAGGCACTTACTAACAATATAATAATGGACTTCTGGGGTGGCAATGGAGGAGCACTGGACTGCAAACCACAAGGCAGTTCAAATCCACCAGCTGCTCCTTGAACCTTATACACGGTTGCTATGAGTTGGAACGCACTCCACAGCACTTAACAACAACAAATTACTAACAAAACAGTCTCTTGAATTTGTTTTTTGTTCTTTTTTTCCAAGTAGATAATCAGATTGTTGTTTTATTCCTGAACACAAAATCAGTATGTCAGAAATACTCCCAGATTCTGAGAGACAAAGCCTATAAACCTTCCAGAGGAATCTTGCTTAACTTCCTTTTCACTTCTTGCTACCCATTTTACCACGTCTTAGGACATGTTACAACGCTGCCACCTTCAAGTCTCCTCCCTGATCCAAATGTGCCTTGGAAATGAATGCACTTAGTCCCCCAGATCTGAAACTGAGGAAGACAAATGCAAATACGTCGCAGCAGACATGTGCTATATACTAGCACAAACCATGTCACTGTAACAAGTGACAAACCACTCCTCAGCCTCACCCCAACTTGCGGGCAAGAAAAGGAGAGAGGCCCGAGTCAACCCGCGGGCGGCCAGAGCTCCAGGTTTATCATTAACACGCTTCAGCCCAAGCACCAGGTTCGCGGCTGCGGCTCCCTGGCCAGGGGCGATGCGGGATGAATGGGGCGACAGGGCTACACCGCCAGCCCCGACCCCGCCTCCGGCCACCCGGGCTCCGCTGTGGCAGCGCTGCAGTCCCCCGCGCGATCGCCCCGAACCCTGCCCGCCGCCCGCCTCCCACTCGCCGCGTGGCCCCCCGCACGTACCTGCTTTGCAAACCGGGGCGCTCGGGCTCCTCCTCTCCGGGGAGCTACGGCTCTGCTCCGGAGACCTCCTCCGGTGCCGGACACGGGCTGGGGGTGGGGCCGCGCTCACCTCGCCGGTCCACAGGTGGGTGGGCGACGAGCTAGGCGAGGACACGGTGCCCAGCAGCGGCGGCGGAGGCGGCGGCCGCGGGGGGCTCC